TTGTTTCGATTTTGATTCTCCAATGACTTGGAAAAGCTTTATGCCAGAATTTAGGAAAGTCTTGGAGTATTTGAGTGACTTGGAAGTCGAAGTACGGCGTCTGTCTTTACACAACAAGAACCTGATAGACCAACTGCAGAGCTCTTCATCCACATCTGAGAAACCTGTGGTGTCTAACGCTTCATCGGCTGAAAATCTTTTGGTTCCCTCTGCGCCATTGTTATCTCAAGAAAATGTCGATGATTTCAACAAAGCAATGGAGAATTTGTGTGAAAGAGTGTACCTTGTAGAATGCAACCTTCATTATCATACCGTCGAAGATGACGTAGTGGGTACCGACCCCGAGGTTGAGGAGATCGCTGTAAACCATTTTGGGACTACTGCTAAGGAAGCTAAACAACTTGCCGAAACTGGAAAACGTTGGAAACCTCGAAGAACAGAGGCGCCGCGACTGAACCTGTGCAAGGCCGAATTACCGAACCCGTCCACGACGAACGGGTTAAAATTAACGTCTGATGATTTTTCCATCCAACCAGCTGGTAAAGCCCCTACCTATGCAGCCATTACGAAACGCCAGCCAAAAACGATACGTGGAGAGATGACTACCGTGGTAGATAATGCAGAACCTCAAAGTGAGCTGGTACGTACACTGAAGTGTAACCGCAAGCCTCACGCAGATTTTTGTGTCAGAGGAATTCCTCGCTTGGGAAGTTCGCAGTTTTCGAACATCAAAGAGTACAACGCTTTCATATCCAACCAGTTAAAAGAAGCCGGAATTGCTACAAGATTTGTAAGCGTATTTGTCCCTCCTACTGGGGACAAACGAACGTCGACCTTTGCCCGTGTTGGAACATTCAAGGATGCATCTGAAAAGATTTTGAATCCAAAAATCTGGCCGTCTAATGTGTTTGTACGAGAATGGGTCTACTGATATTCTATTGCTAATTTTGCTACGCTATCGTCACAAAATTTGTCGTCTATTTAGTTATCTAAGATATCCTGAATGTATTCCAGCAATGGTTTTTGTGGTCTTGATATGCGAATCGCTGCTTTACTTTCGTCTGTTATGCATGTCTCTTGATGTAACCTTTGTTAAATATGCTTTTATTGTTGTCGAAAAGCTGAACACTACATGTTTATTGTTTATTTTTGACTGTGTCTGTCTGAAGCCTAGAGGGGGCACCTGCTCCGTGCAAGGACAATAAACTCCATTATTATTATTATTATTATTATTATTATTATTGTGACTTCAGATGTGATCCGAGCATTTGTAACTGGGTAATAAAATGGGTAGTACATCAACAGTCAAACCAAACATTCTCGGAAAAATAAAAATATTGTTCAAAACGTATTGGCAACTTGATCAAACTCTGCATAGCATAAGTGTCCCGGTTTTACTTGATAACAGTATACCGTAATCGTAAGATTCAGCCATAATTTTGTCCCAGACTCCCAGTCAGAATGTCCAAACTACGGATGTTCGAGGCTAACAAAGCAGCAGTGGAAAACCGGTTGTACCAATGAAAAGCAGGTGCGTTTTATCAGAGCGCAATTTCTTTACTGTTTTTTGGGATACTGTGTTAAAGAAGATGCGAAACCTAATTTTTTATAATTTTACCGACCGCTATACTGGTACGAAAACAAACCTTACACAATGGAAGATAGACAGCTGACAGCTGTCATCCATGTTGTGAATGCTGTCGCCACTGCCAGTAATATTGGCGACGCATTAAAAACGTATTTAAGTTTGGTCAAAGTAATGGGAGAACAAAACAAGCAGTCGGCGTTGCCTGGACTGCACAGGCCGTCAGGCACCGATCGTTACCTTGCGGGCTTACAGATAGAATGGACTCCCGTGTCCATCTCGAGGTCATGGCTAAACGATAATCTGGAGAAATCGCGTTTTGCAGGTTGAAGGAAATTTGATACAACCGTAATATACTACAAACGAACACTATCAAGCAGCAACACGGCAGTTGTTTCTTGAATGCACAAGAATAATTAATACCAAACAAATAAATAGGTGTACACCCCACCGCACCCAGTAGAGTCGTGAAGTGCTCATTTTGAGCTTCCAATGTGGCAAATTTGTCGGTGAAAACACAACCTCCCCATGCGCATAACTAAGAAAATAGCAACCACTGCTCGCCCGATTGCACTGCTTTGAAGATACTCGTTACAGAGAACGTCCAGAAACCGATCCGGTTTGTGCTGGCCCATTAGAGTAGCATACCATGTAAAAGATCGCGCCGAAACGGTTGTGACCAAATGAAAGATACTGCCAGAATGTAGTGCGCCGAGTAATGCGAGAGGTTGTCAACCGATTGGACACCACAAATCGTTGAGCATGTAAAAGCAATTAGCAGCTGACCTGGCTCCAATAAATTCCATTTCTGTGCGGCCAAATACTTATCGTGCTGCGCATTAGTAAATACTGCTATTCCACTGCATCCATGGTCATTAATTTTGGAATTTCGTACGAATATCGCTGTGTATGCCGCATCCTGCAAAAAGCGTGACGTTGAACGGGCGTACACTCAGTACTTGTACAACAACACCAGTTATGCAAAGCAACGGCGAAAGCCAAGGAGCTCTGTTTCTTTGTAGAAATGTTTTAGTACAAATTTTAGTATTACAGTTTCTTAAACAAACTTTTTACGGTGCTTTTACATGCTCTGACTCGACGCCAACGGTTTGCTAAGCGTATTTAATTTCTGTGAAAAACCCGTAGTCTTATTTGACAAAAGTTGTAAATCTCGGAGATCGTTTTCGCTCTTCTTGATGTTTGTTTTCGATTTTGGTGATGTTTCTGTTATCTTGAGAGGGACGGATAAACTTGTTATGCTGCTCCCGATAGAAGGATGGCTTTCAATCATGAATACGTGTTGTTGTTGTCCTCTCGCAGCTACTGGACAGGATTGCGATGAACGGCCAGCAGGACGTTCGCAGACTCGACGCTGCTCCGGTAATAAGGTCACGCCGGGCATCTTGTGCTTGTGTAATTTTGGGTCTAGTCGTTAAAAATACCGGTTTGAAAAAAACTCGGATTATGAAATATTAAATACGCTGGTGATGTTTGATAATTTTCGGGAGGTGAACTTCCACAGATCCCGTTTTTGGAGGCTTACGAGCCTTGGCACTATGAATCCGTACAGATAAGTTATTGTCCAACTCGATCTTCTAGATTGAGATATATTACCTTCATTGCCTTCTTTCCGGAAAAATGAGGTGCCTATAATTAAATTTTACATTCTCGGAGACTTATTGTGCAAATCTGTCATTACTCCGACTATTTACAGAGTAACGTGATGTTAAGAGAATTTTGGCTTCTTTGTGTTGCAGCATGGGCTCTCGAACGGGTGGGAAAATACAACGGCATTGTACAATCAAGGTTTAGGTATAATAACGAAGAAGTGTCGCTGAAGTTGCGCTGATGGGTATCCCAACTTGAGCCGCGCCGCCGGCACCAGAACAGATACTTGCTTACAGTTGTCGTATATCATGTACCCTGTTTATTTGAAAAGTGTTTAGAGTTTATCTGCCTCCCAATTCTATCTGCAGCCATGCAGGCTTCCGAGCGCCAGGCAGTGCTCTCGATCCAGCGTGCCTCCCTCGATGGAATACCTGGTGGGCGGCACCGAGCAGTTCCACGGCACAATGGGTGTGGCCATCTGCAGGGTGCTGCTGACCGTTTCCTCAAAAGAAAAGCAGAGCAGTTGTATTGCAATTACCACAGTGGAGGCGTATTTCACTGATGTTTAACCCTTGGACCGGTGGCCTCATTCAGTGCATTCGCAATGGCCAAAACTAATTCGAATTTAAAAAAAAAACAATCATCGCATCAAAACGAGGAGCAGGAACGTGTTTTAAAATTAATGTTAAAAAATATTCGCAAGTTTTTCTTTGAAAATTCAGAAATATTTAGGTTATGCGATGGTCAGCTGTAATTTCATCTGTACGAATAAAACGTGCCGGTATCTTAACGGGCTAGACGCACAAAACCCACTCTTTAACAAGCCCACACACTACGATGCTCATGCATTTCCTGTGTATTTGCATCTGATGGCAATCATTAGCTGTTTTACGCGTATGTCGACTGACTCGATTTCAAAGCACTGCTGCGGAATGTGAAACTAAAACAATTTTCTCAGTATACGCAGAAACTATTCTCATAAAAACTAGTATGATTAGTATACGACTAACGGTGCTGAAATTTTATTGTTATTTTAAAATAACAGCTTGCGAGCAAAATTATGATACATAAGTCATAATTATTTTGAAAAACAAAATTACGGATTTCCCCTTTGAACGAGCTGTATGCCATGAGAAGTAAAAAACTTTTTTGGGAGATCAACTCAATTTTACAATACGTGTATACAATTTTACAATACGTTTACTTGTTTTTTTATATCAACCTTTAAATCCATGGAAACGGGTCGGCAGTTGTTGCTAGGTGGCCACGAGAACGGTATGCTCGCGGCTCGCATGGAAACCCTTTAAGGCATACAAAAATTACGAGAAAACAACTTAATAAAAAAACAAAACTCGAAAGTTTTGTAATTAGTATGCTCGCGGCTCAGACGATACAAGTAGTAAAGGGCGTCCCGCAAGGCGATTTTGGTCTCTACTTCCCCACTGGACATCCGGACTACAGTTTCTGACGTCATATTATTAAAACAAAAAAAATTCAAAGAAAAATTAAAAAATAAATTTAGAAAATTATATTTATTTACTAATTAAACTCACCAAGGCGGATTAAATTAAATTGGCCAATTTGTAATGTAATCTCAGGAATCCACGCAAAAGCAGCTAAGGATTTAACACAACCACCAAAGCAGAAGGGATCAATCAGCCGTTTGTATTCACCATAGCTGAAATCACCAGATCTGATCTCAAAAAAGCGGACGTCCATAAAACCGCTGAAAGTAAAAACTCTACAGCGTCAATACAGGGGTGTCAAAGGAAGATCACCACACAGGATAAATAAATGCAAAGGCACAACAGCGGCTTCTCATCATAAACAGTGAAAAAATCAGGAAATATTGCATTCTAACAGGCCTTCCGGAGCGGCTGCGGGAAAAATCTATGGATAATTAAATTCACGACTGCCGCTCGGCACATGCAGATCATCGTGCCGTAGCGTCCATAAAGGGCGCTGTCGTAGAAGTGCAAGCAGATCCCGGCTGCTCCGCCGCAACGCCACAGCGGACAAGAAGGTCTCGTTTCAGACTGCAATAGCGCAGCATAGTGTAGCGTTATGGAGAGAGAAACGCATGAAATTACGTGACAGATTTTAAAGGCGGTGATTAATGAGATCACACTGCATTTTGGTCAAACAAATTTTTTCTTAAATAAAAAAAACTTAAAGAACGTGATCTCGTTGATGATTGAGCCTCGTAATCTGGCACGTAATTTCAACGATTTGTTTATCTACACATCAACAAAATAATTTAACGAAACATGTACTCACACTTGACAGTATAATTTCGGGGCTGTCTGCGTGAAGTACCGCATTTGTTTGTGAGCAAGCGGAATCCGTAATGACTTCGAAAACACTTGGCAGCGCATCGTATTTCAATCAGTTTTCCGTTTGGTGGGAGCGAAGTGCGTGTGAAAACGTGAAAATATCTCGCATGAAAGGAACGGAAGTGCTTGCTCAATGCAAACGTGATCATTCGGGTGCAGAAAATCGAAGAAACACAAAATCTGCGGTGAACACAATATTAGCAAAAAAGATATTACTAACTAATGATCCTAACATATATTAACACCAAGATTGTATTGTGAATTTCCGTAGCGTCTTACAAAAGCCTGATAGAATTCGGTGCTTCACGGGTCGGTAATAACAAACAAATCCACCTGAATAAAGAACAAAAATAAATAAATTAAAAACTTTTCTTTTGGGTGTCTTACAACACGCCGAATAGAAAATACTTACAACACACCGATTGCATATACAACGATGATACTGAGAATTCTATAATTTCTTGCTCAGATGTACCAGCCTGTTTGTTCTCATAGCACGTGGCTTCGAAATCAATCACAATCAGGTAAACCAGTGCATATTCAGGCTTATTTCCGGCTGACATTTGTCGAACAGAACTACCAGCTCCGCTATAAGAAACAGTCCCATCAGTTTTCATCCCGTATTAATTCATAATTCACTTTTTAATTCTTATTACATAAATAAAGTAATTTTGTTTTCTTTATGTTATTCTAATTCATTTTTAAATATGTGCATTATCTTTGTGCTGTTTAAAAAAATAACGGAATCTGACGGGTATTTACGTAATTTATTTTGACGATTAAAGTGTGTCTTACCATAAGTTGTTTACCATCGGATTTCAAGAAACGACTAACGTAATCTCGGATGCCATCAATGAATCTGCAATAAAATTATTAAAATCATTACTAAAATATCGATCTGTGCATTCCCACAGGCAAAGGCACACACTCAGCTGGCTTAACTGCACCATGCCTATTAAATTTACGAAAATTTCATGAAAAAGAGGATGCAACTCAGATATTAGTAAATAAATAAAGAGCGACAGTACAGAATATAGGAAGAAATCAAATGAAAATAAAATGAAAATTAAACCGAGAAAATTCAACAGCATTCTGTGCAATTCTACGTAGCATATAAATTGCCATCAGAATAAAAAATACAAATTATTATCAGAAAGAAACCCAGACTGCCGTCAGAATAAAAAACCAAATAAAAATACGGAGAAAACAGCTTAATTAAGCAAAATCATCTGCCAGTCTGCACTGAAGCTTACCTGCGAGTCCGCCAGTCCAACGTCTCCCGTCTTTCGTCCCGTTTACCGTCGCTTTCAGCGTTGTCTGTCCCAAAATCGTCCTCGGGTTCTCCGTCGTCTCTGCTTTTGTCGTTATTCCCCATCGTCTGCTGTTGTGGGCCTGGAATTTCTCAGCCCCGCGTCCATTACAGCCCCGCATCTGTCACAGCCCCGCGTCCGCTACAGCTCTGCGTCCCTCACAACCCCGCGCCCTCCGCAGCCCAGCTTTTTGCTATTCCCTCGGTCTCGCCACCCCCCTCACCCCCCCCTCGCTGCGCTGCCCTTGGTTGTACTGTTACCTATAACGCCCCTGTTTGTACCGTTACCTTTATGCCTTACAAAGCCACACTGCGCACGATTATCGTCTGAGAATTTTATTTAGTTAGTTACCTTCGTATTAAAAGAATTGCCACAGAATCACCAAGTATACAGTTTACAAGTAACAAATTACTAAAAATTACTTCGCCATCCTATTTCATATATCTAGTTTAATTTGGCTAGGCCAAAAACACTGGATATTGTCAAAACTGCTTTTTATGGTAAAGATCGTCGTCCAAGTCGGCCTTCCATTTGGCCGCCTGTTTCATTTCTTCATGCATCTGGGGCGTAATTTTAGAGGCAAAAAATGCCAAAGGCACTAAAAAATAATTAAATTACCTAAAAGCTAAGAAAATTTATAAACACGACTTACAATTTGCCTGCTGAGCGCTACGACGCAAAAACGCGATGGTGTCCGCATCCAGATTCAATCTGCGGATTTCTTCTGGAAGATCGCTGTCCTCCGGAATGGTGGATGAAATCTCGTTGCTTTGCTGGCTGGCCATGTTGTTGGAAATCTTGAAATTGTAGACTGGAGATGACTGACTGAATTCATTCTCACTAGCACAGACTTATGAGGTTAGAAAGATCCTTAACTGTCAACACGATGGAACGTGATGTTCCATCACTTTCTATTGAACAATCGCATTGGAATGCATACGTTTTCGATTGCAATTCTCCTTAAAATACAATATCTATAATTTTACGCTTAAACGTTAGAAAATTTAACAGGTACGTACAAATATGAGTTGTATATGCTTGTGAATGAAGTATAATGGTGATGTTTGTGATCTAGCTGGCCGTTCCATTGTGATATCGTTTCTTCCTTTTAGGCGTCTGTTTAGCGTGTGTGCGTGTACGTCTGTGGCCAGAAAAAGTTCCTGGTGGCACTACGCACATTTTTTCCGCACGAACTCCACCGTAAGTTCCTTGTCTAATTGCTATGTACTAATTAACTTTTTTTACCTAATACTCCGAAGGCTTACACTAAATACTTTCTGTTTTGTTGTACTTGTGCAGAATTAGGATTTTGTAATCCAGTAAACAGTTTCGGGACTTGTAAAGTTTGCCCTGGCTCTATCGGAAAATTTTCAACACTGATCTAGACGAAATTTTTCTTTCTGCCTAAAAATCAACTTTTAATCTTTTTTGCTCTCTGTTTCATACTATAAGACTTGTTAATTATTATTGAACATTATATTATAGGTACTTTATGAGTCCGAATGCAATTAATGACTGAAATTAATTATTTACAGGTTATTACATGCGGGATAGCGATACTATTAGGAACACCATCTGACCACACACACAGCATTGCGTGAACGTCTACGACGGTACAATTTAATATTCGGAACCAAATTATTCTGTGTTCCTAGCATAATATTAATATTGTTACATCCGAATTAATGCTATACCTTTAGTTTACCGCATTTTATTTTTAGTATCATTAAACTGTCTTAATTGCAGATAATTTACCACAATTACAACGGACTGCGGCTATATCAAGCGCCAAAGTAAAATTCACCTTAAATAATCGTTTGTCAACTATTTGAATAATTTATTATAATTTTAATGTATTATAGCAATTGATCAGTTATATCTGCTGTAAATATCAGTGTAACCATTTGCAGGCTGACATTACGACTGTGCTAGCATCACAACGCAAGTCTATATGGCTGAGCAGGAGCAAAGGTCAAAGCGGAAAATGGGACCAACAGAGTAAGCTGATTTCGTAAAAATATTCAGTGAAGCAAAACATTTTTCTATAGCATAATTTTTACTTTTCATGATAATCAATTTCGGTTTCAAAATTTATCACGTATATACTGCTACTGAATAATATTCAATCTGCTGTACAACCAAATCAACCAAGTCTTGCATCTGTTTATCTTTATTTTATTTTTAAGTGTAAGCAAAATAAAAATACAGTAAAATCAAAATTATTCAATAGTTCAAAGACATCGATACTATTTAAGTCATCAGTCAGCAGAACCGCCAGTGATGTCGTGCCAGAGTTATTTGCAAAAATGGAGCAGGAAAGAAAACACAAGCCAGCTCTCACAGCGCTTGCTGCGGCTTGTATAATTATCCTGGTGATAATAATTCTAGTAAGCGATATTATTCTGCCTATCGCAATAGCGACAATACAGCAACAACAACAGCAGCAGCAGCAAGAGCTTGATAAAAATCAAACAGGAACGTTATTTTCGGCGACGTACCCGAACGGGAGCGTCGTCAAGTCCGGCAGTATCCTTCGTTTATCATAGGTAAGCTTAAAGCGCTTTACCTGGTCCACAGCATCAATTTCAAGGGTCCGTTTATTACGCCGTATCACGGAAGAATACCGTAAGGGGTACACTTGAGGTCCAGGGGTCGTCCAGAGTGAAGTGAAAGTATTTAAATTAAGTGTTTTCTTGATAGTTCGATTGAGTGTAAAACCTTTAACTTTGCAGACATGCTTTCCTTTGTTCGTCACATAAGCATAAGATTTAGGAGCGTAGACGGTGACCTCTGTGATGAATTCACCATCATTTAATTCTGTTTGTCAAGTCCCCATGTAGTTTCCCAATGGAACTTCAGGATCTCCTTGCCGATGAATCCACATTAAGGAATCAGTATCCGTATATCAGGTTACGTCCAACTTGAGACATATAATTGTATAAGTGAAGGCGGGCATGGGCCGTCGTGAACCTAAATCATCCAACCAATAAATATTTTTAAAAGAACATATTTATTATATTTAATTTACACTTACGCCGCAAGGATAACATTAGTCTTTGGGTTAACTGGAATAAAGTCTTCCTTGGACTTGTACGCAACTTGAATAACGGTGTCACTGAAGAATTCGATATTGTGAATTTCAACGCATCATTTAATAAAAGTTCGTAAAAAATCTTTGGGCTCGGAAATGAACTGTGTAGACAATCTATCCTCGCGCATACCGAGTCGGCCCCAAAAACTACAAAGAGAATAGAAACGTTAAGCAATTTCAGCTAATGTATACCTAATGAAACAGAAGACATACTTGCTTTAAAAATAACTTTGCAAGGGCGCGAAGCCCCAGGTTTTTTCCACTTTCTCGGCGTCAATAGATGCACCTTCTCGAAGTAAAAAATTCTTCCATATACTGCTTTTCTCTTCTTCTGTTTTAACATTAGAGGGCCAACCGCTGGCTTCCGTTTTTAATTTCAAGAAATGCTGGATGTACTCTTTAAATAAACCTTCGCGAGAACTCGAAAATGCCAAATTTCGTAGACTTTACCACCGTATATCCCAAGGATAGTGCCTTAATGATTTCCACAGAGCACCAGACGCCCGTAAGTGATCTTTCGGCGTCTGTGTGCTGACAGCTAGAATTTTGCTGCGTTTCAGCACATAGCCGGCATAGCGAAAAGTTAATTTTTCGGTACGGTAAGGTAGAACAGGTAACCATAGACTTTTGGGCGGTAGAATGGTCAGGTAAAATAGTCCAAAATAATTTTCCAAGTTTGGATCAAAGTCCGCAGTAATTCGCACGTGTGGGCCAACTGGATATCTTTTCCGCGAATTCACAAAGGATATTCCGAAATGACATCGGCAAACCTAAAAAAACACTTCTCATTAAAATTGAAATTATAATCTTTACTTAACTAGTTGTACCGTATTTGTTCTCCGGGCTCGCATTTATACGCAACCGTGTCCCGTTGGTCCGACCGCCATATAGAGCATCGCGGGGTTGAAGAGGTGCGTGAACATGAATATCTTTTATTGTTTCACGAAAATCCTCATCGTCTACCAATTTCTGATCGTACTCGCTTTCCCAAATTTTAACAGAGTATCCCATTTGCTCAAGGGCAATTTCCGTTGGACGGTTGCCGCATGCAAATCCTCCATCGTTTGTTTGAGATGATTTACAAATGTGCGTTTCGTGGTTGCGGGATTGCCGTGCCAGAAGTCGCCATAGAATTCGTAAATAATTTCCGCTTCTTCGTCATAGCCGTCCACGTAAAATTTTCCAATCTTCTTTTCCTTGCAAGTGCTTTTGCCTTCCGTCATTTCAATGTAGCACAACCATTTACCACATTTGACTGATTGCATGCGCTGACTAGGGTTTTACAATAGCAATAAGGTTTTTTCCAATATCGTGCGCGCCAGAAAAATGGCATATACCCGCAATTGTTAGCGGAAGTAAATGGGCAAAGCCCGCCTGAAATACCCATGAACAACTTCGAATTCTTGAGAGCAGACGTAGAGTGTTAACATCCTGTTTGCAGTATTTGACGAGCCTCGTTGACACATGCTGTACTTCCCTTTCTTTTCTCCGATCTTTTCGATAAAATCCTTTGATAAAGTCTTTTCTTTCTTTGTTATTCATCAAGCTATAGTTGAAATCCTCCCTTTTAGGATAGGGAATAATTTTGCCAAAATTTTCTGGGCGATTGACCGGATGAGGAATTTACCCTTTTGCTCTGTCGCTCCAACGCTTGAGCCCAAGCGTCGAGCGATTGGGGATTGTATTTAGTATCACGAAATTTTATGCCAAATTCAGGTACATCCAGTTGCATAATTTTTGAGCCGTTCATTATGAGCTTTGGAACTGTCCATTTTTTAATAACCATTTCAGAACAAAACCGTCGAACGCCCGAAGGGCCAAGACATAAAAGTTTTTAAATGATCCGGAAAACAAAACTCGCAAAATTCTGTTGTTATATCCCGGCCGATATCGGACGAGTCGGCAGGAAAATCCATTCCTGGCCGTTGTCGTTTTGGATAACGGCCAGGTTCGAATAAAATTGCCCGTTTCCGGACACGGGTAAGTCTCAAAATCGAAATAGAGAAACTGGGCCTGTTCGTGCTTTTCGAGATCCTGGTCCGTCAGGATCTCGGGCACAATGTAGCAAACGTCATTTGTTACGTGCTCAGCACACCAAAAATCTCACCGCACACGTGGTCCGTGGTACGAAAAGCTCTGGAGACAAATGATTGGCAAGATGAACAGACAAATAGCGTTTGACATACCGTAATCTTGTTTTCTCCCGAGCCAGCAGCGCGTGTGATGATTGAAACACTCTTCACCGTTAAATGTTCGGCAGCAGTCCGAACAGTATATTCTTATCTTCTCCAGGATTACATCTGAATCGCAGGCATTGTTTGCAACGGTATTGGCATCGATGGCGATTTTATGATCGTATCCGCGACTGCAACGGTCGCACCAGTATGATGTTTGAACCGGCCGGCAGGCTTTCAAGACATCAAAATATTAGTTATGATAGCAGACGAATCTTTTTCGCATATTCGCCGGCATAGACAATCGTATTGAGGTCGACGCTCGTTATCAGGATTTGGTAGTCCGGTAAGGCCATTTGAAACTGTTGAACGTCTTCCAAAGTATATTGTCGAAGTTCTAGTCCTGCGCCAGCAATGAGTTCGTTTGCCATTTTGTCTGCAGCGTTCTGTCGGAAGCCGTACAGAGTCCTTTGGTGGCGATACAAGCATCTGTACAGCGGTATATTATCATCTGCGAGGGCCTTAGCTATAACAAGCGCACGAGCCAGACAGAGGTTGTCTGAATTACGCA